CTGTGTAGCCCTGTTTAGGAACCACCACTCTAACGGGCACACACACGCTAACTCAAAATTGCGTAAGTGCTCTCTCACACACGCACGCACACTGTAAGGTTTTTGTAGCAACACATCATTCAGTAACAACGTCATTCATTCAGGTTCAATATGAGTATTCCATTGTTTTGTTTTTGTGGCCCTGAGAGCTTGAGTAATGATGTAATGATTTGCGTCACATGTGTCTCTGCCGGTCTGTGTCATCGTTGGTCAGTCCCTCGCTCAACTGATGATATGCCTATGGCTTTGATGCACTGCAGTCAAACAATCCCCAGGCATGGCTGGAATGTGTGTTATCCCCCTTGTTGACTCTTTATCCTGTTTATCCTCCTCTTCTCTCTCCCTTTCTCTCTTTCTATCTTTCTCTCTTTCTCTTCTCCTCTCCTTTTTCCCTCTGCTGTCATGATTCAATCACCTCTCCTTTTATCTGTTTCTCTTTCTCCACTCCTCCTTTCCCCATCTGCTATATTCATGTTTTCTCCTCTCTCCTTTTCTCCCTTTCTCCTCTCCTTCTCGCCTCTCCCCTCCTCTCATCTCATTCTCTCCCCTCGTCTCCTCTTCTCCTTTCTCCCTCTGCTAATGAATGTATCTCTTCTCTCTCTCTTTCTATTTTTCAATCTCTCTTCTTTGGTCGTTTTCTGTTCTTCTCTCTGCTGCTTCTTGTATTTGTATATTTTCTACTCTCTCTCTACTGCTTCTCTTCTATCGCACTCTGTCTCTCTGTCTCTCTCTATGTCTCTCTCTCTCTCCTCTCTCTGTATCTCCCTTCCTCTCTCTTGGTCTCTCCCCCCACAGCTTTGAGGCGGAGAATGCCCCGTCGCTGTGCTGCAGCCCGTCGGACCCCCAGGCCTCCCCTGGGTCAGCCCTGGTGCTGCACCCCAGCCAGGCGGGCCACGGCCAGCGCCGGGAGTCCTTCCTCTACCGCTCCGACAGTGACTACGACCTGTCCCCCAAGTCCATGTCCCGAAACTCCTCCATCGTCGGGGAACTGTGAGTCTGACCTAACCCCCCCCCCCCCCCACCACCACCACCACCACCCCATATCACAGTGGTTAGGGTGGGCTAGGATAGTCTAGCTGCTAGGGTGTTTTGACACCCAGCTGGTTCTGGGTTCGAACATGCAATGTCCACAGTCTGCCCTGTAGGTGTCCATGAGCAAGATGCCCTAACACCCCTACCTGCTGTTTGGTGTCACACACAAAAATCACTGCAAGTCCCTTTGGATAAAAAATGTTGAGGCCGAAATGACTCAATAAAGAAAATAAGTAAGGAATAAACCACAACGGGGTATCACGATGACGCAGCCTCGGCCACATCACCGCCCCCGTCCGACACCCCAGTGTGGTTTATTCCGCTTATAACACAGTGACAGTCCAACAATGATTAGATATGAATAGATGGTTAGTTTTTGATCAGCTGAAATTAAAATACGCTTTGAGCATATTGTTCTTGCGTCTTGATCTCAAGGAAACATCTGATCAATAGTTGTTTTTAATGTTGTATTTGTAGCGCATTGATACGGAAGTGTTAAAAGGCAGAGGTGTCCCGTTATTGAACACCCTTGGAACGTTATTGACCAATCAGGATCAAGTATTTAATAATGCTGTGGTATTAAGAAGACCCACGCCTCTGACCGGCTTCTTGTACGAAGTCCTGAATGACTGAATATTATGATATGTCAACGATTGAGTGTAAATGTAGTCAATGATGGTTTGTTTGTGTGTTTGTTTCCAACAACTAGGCAAGAAGATCTGATCGTCACTCCATTCGCTCAGGTCAGAGATTTTTCTCTCATATACTTTTTCTTATGACATGCGCTATACAAACAAAGAGTTACTAATGAGTTATTAGTAATATATAGGATGCATAGGATAATAATATTATTATTTTATTTTTATTTTTGTATTATTTGTATTATTGCGAGTTCCTGAAATAAGACATGATTGAGGTTGCAGGTTACTGTAGGTCTTTTATTGCTATGTGTCTCTTCCTCTTTCAGGTCCTGGCAAGCCTTCGCACTGTAAGAAACAATTTCACCACCTTGACCAACGTTCATTGTGCATCCAATAAGTAAGTGCTGCATTTCCTTCTATATCTAGAGTGGTTTTCTTGTGTTGTCTCTCTGTTGGCCTGTTAACATTTAGCTGATAACGTTTTTTATGTTATTCAAATTTTGACAAATTGTGACATGGACATTGCCACCTGGGGGCAGTAGTGTGTCAAAGATTCTGTTTCTTCGGAGCACTGCTGCTGTTCTGTAAAATCTTGTAAAAACATAAAAAAGGAAAGAATAACACATTCTAGACAATTTATCTTTGACCAAAAACAGTCGACTGGCAAAATCAACCATGATTCTGTAATCATAGGATTCTTTCATAGAAATGATTCTGTAATTATAGAAATGTTTCTGTAATTATAGAAATGTTTCTGTCATTATAGAAATAATTTGTTAAACATTGAAATGGGTCACTGGGTGTGGTTAGACATGTGGGCACTGAGTCAAAAACAACTTTATCAGATCATGGCTCACTCATTATCTGTCACAAATCTCCACTGCCAATAAGTACTAAAAAGAAAGTATCATTCAACTCTAGAAACTGTTATGTTAAGAAATGAGTGCTGGGAAAGAAGGTACGTAACACAATAATGCCGCATGCGTCAAAAGCATTGCTCTAGTCATGGAGTGTTTTTATTTTCATCCTCTGTGTCATTTCAGGAGATCCCCGGCTACCAGTCAGCCCGCTGCTACCAAAGTGTGTCTTTCAGGTTGGTGCTCTTTAGCATACGCACACAGGATGTGGCTAACCCTGTTGACACATGTCCAATTAATACATGTCGATGTCCCTCTGATCGCTCATTGCTTGGCCACTGAGAAATCGGGAGAATCAAATCACAACTGTCGCAACTCGACTTGTAAACACAATGTAGGGCTGGGCGATATATCGATATTATATAGATATCCTAATATGAGACTAGATATCATCTTAGATGTCGATATCGTAATATCGTGATATGGCGTAAGTGTTGTCTTTTCCTGGTTTTAAAGGCTGCATTACAGTAAAGTGATGAAATAACAGTACTTTTCATCAAGTAATAAATTCACACAGGAGTATACAAAAATTGGCTTTACCATGATGTTATTTTATATAGACTATTTATTTAATTACCAGAAAACATGCTATGTCGTGATACATTAAATAGATATTAAATGACCAATATCGGGATAGAAGATTTTGACCATATCGCCCAGCCCTAACACAAAACTGTACGCGTTATACATTTTGAAAAAAAAGATGTCGAAACAGCCATGCCCACATGCTACGATCCTCTTATCAGAAAGCAGAAGAAAAGAGAAGCCGGAGGGTGGGGGGGGGGCGGGGGGGGAGTCATCAGAGGGCCTCTATGAGTCCAGCTGCAGATAGACGTCAGCAGATAAGACAGTAGGGAGTGGTGGTGGCTGGTGGGTGGTGGGGGAGGAAGTGATCATGGGGGGGGATCCCCCCCATGATCTAGAAGATATAGCTGTTGGTTGTTTTCCTTCTTCCTCCACATTGCTCTCCTTCCATACTTGACCTTCGGTTGAGCCACAATGGCCAACGAGGGCTACGGCCCGATTGGTCTGTCCGTCACTGTGGTTTCAGCTCTCCGGAAAGAGCGAAGTGTGAAGTGAAACAAACATGGATTCTAGTAAATCCCGTCGTTTTAGGAAATGTAATGAGGTTTTGCTACATTTCGGGAAACAGTATACTAATGTGGAAATGTGGTCATTCAATGTGTGTGAGATTGATGTGAGACTTTGCAGGTTAAAGGGTTCGATTTCCAGCTCAGCTGTGGTCATGGAGTTTGCATGTGTGTGTGTGTGTGTGCACAGAGTGCAACTCCCTTGTGCACTCTGATCCTGAGCAGGATGAAGAAAATTGATGAGTGGATGGATGAAGGAAGGAATGAATTGATGGTTGGATGAATGGATGGATGTATCGATGAATGGATGGATGGATGGATAGATGAATGGATGGATGGATGGACGGATGAACAGATGAGTGGATGGTTGGATGAAGGGATGGATGAATAGATGAATGTATGGATGAATGGATTGATGGTTGGATGGTTGGACGGATGAATGAATGGAGGACTAAGGCCACCACCACTGTCATCAACTTCTTCTGGTTTCAATAGAAACACACACCTGTCTGAAACCACACAGATGACAGTTCACACGCTCACATGTTGGACAATGAGCCACGTTCTCAGGAAAGATGTGTCCATATCCTTCCTCTCATTATCTCCGCCTCCATCACCATCTCCAAACCTTGTTGTTTAACGTCTTGTTTCCCTCGCTCTCTATCCCTATCTCTCTCTCTCTCTCTCTCTCCCTCTCTCTCTCTCTCTCTCTCTCTCTCTCTCTCTCTCTCTCTCTCTCTCTCTCTCTCTCTCTCTCTCTCGCTCCCCCTCTCCCCATCTCCCTCTGCTGTTTGTCGTCTTGTTTTCCTCATCGCAGTAGAATTTCATTGACAGGAAGAGGAGAACAGATTTTTCCTGTTTTGACGCCTCGCGTGTTGGATGAGGCAATGTTCCCACTGTTAACGAGCCGCATCGCCGCGGTAACCTGCGTCTTTCCGGGATGCGAGGAGGGCTCCGGCGTCCCATCGAACCCCCCCCACCAAAAAAAAAAAGAAATGACCTGTTGAGGGATGATAAAGAATAGAGAGAGCACGAGAGGGGAAAAGCAGAGAGTGACAAAGACCGTTTTAAAAAAGATGAGGGCCTTGGGTTCACCGGAAAGACGTAAGGAGATGTTGTCAGTCACTCTGTGAGGTAGAGAGCGAGAGAGAGAGAGAGAGAGAGAGAGAGAGAGAGAGAGAGAATGAGAGATACCAGACAAAGAAACCATTTTTCTTTCTTTCACAGAGAGAAAGAAAGAAAGATGTCAGGGGCAGAATGGTTAGGTAAAGGTTAACCACTAGTCTAGTGGTTAGGGTATTTAACTCCCAGTCGAAAGATTCTGGGTTCGATCCCCAATAGCAACCTAAAGGCATCCTTGAGCAAAGATGCCTAACCCCACCTGCTCCTGAATGACATGTACCTGAACTCATTGTAAGTCACTTTGGATAAAAGCGTCTGCTAAATAGTCAATAATATCTGCTAAATAGTCAATAAGAATATGTCACAGACATCAAGAGAGTGTAAACCAGGACAGCCATTGGCGTCAAATGGCCTGTGAAGTAAAGGAGCAGGAACATGACTACAGTCCTCAGGCAAAAGCGATGGATCAATCACAGTCTCGCCACTCTGGCAAGTTCTACGCCATCTGGCATTGGCGCTAACTTTTGAAGAGTTTGTTTTGTTCGGTTTTTACACATTTTCCCCATTCTGCCCCCCCCCCTGCAGTCGTGCAACAAAGGCCTCAGTCTCCCTCGTCTAAATTAGATTATCTGTCTCCACAGTGTTATCGCACGACAAATGGTATCTTTGGAAGTGGTACTAGATATGACGTCTTTTGTGGCTGTCAATGTACAACGATTATTATTCTGTGACTCAGATTGGCGTAATGTAGCCTTGCAGATACTGAGCACTCGCATGCATGATCAAATCTGTGTTGTTTGGCCTGTTGATGCTCTAAGGCAGGCTCTTTTACATTTAAGCAGAAAAATGTCAATGTTCACAGTAGTTGTGAACAAACAAGCATGTTTATTGTACGTTGCCTAAAGCTCACATTTGGGCTTTTGACCAAAAAACAAGATTGTATTCATCAAATGTGTGACAAAACGTGTGAAATGTACACCCTGAGATCTACCATGGAAGAGGTCCCATGAGTCCTGCTCTCTGCCACGGCGTCGCAGGTTACAGTACCCTTGCGTGTGTTGACTTGCACGTGTCTGTGCAACACACAGAAGAGAGAAGGAAGAGGAAAACAACAGAGAAACGCAGCAGGGTTTGCCAGCTGCATTCTTACATACGCTCTTTCTTTGCCTTGAAGCTGAAGGTCACGTGACTCTCTGTGCGTCAGTCAGGCCGGGTGTGGGCCGTTCTGAGTATTGCTCATCTACCTTTTGTTTAGTGAATGTGACCTGAGTATGGGAAGGCTTTGTGGGTTTGTTGTAGGCATGTTGACTGGCTGTCATCTTCTAATAAGGTGCTTATTATTATTATGCAATACTGTATAAGGGCATCAGTGTGTTTGTTTCAACACAGGCTTTGTTTGTGTGTGTGTGTGTGTGCGCGCATCTGCATGTGTGTGTGTGTGTGTGTGTGTGTGTGTTGGGGGTGTTGGGTGTGTGTGTGTGTGTTGGGGTGTGTGTGTGTGTGTGTGTGCATGTGAGTGTGTATGTGCCATATGTCAAGTGTTGTTCTATTGTGTCCTAATGCACGGGGAGTTTTTCTGTAAGGCGATGACTTAGAATTAGGCAGAAGTACTCATTCAAAATAATTTCCATTATGCAAGTATTTTCGATACTCCTTTTTTTAGTCAGATTTGTAATGTCCTAAAAATATTTTATTAATAATAATAATCATAATCATAATAATCATAATCATAATTTTAGATTAAAACACTAAACACCTAGAAGTAATTTTGTTGGGGAATCGATTTAGATAAGATGTGGAGAAGTCTTTCCTCGCTACACAAAGGTTCAGGTTTTAGGACATTACCAATCTGACTCAGCTAATAAAAAAGTAGTATCGAAAATACTTGTATAAGGGAATTTATTTTGAATGAGTACTTAAAAAAATGATTTGGTTTCCAGCATTTTTAATTTGAATGATGCATTTCTGCCTAATTCTAAGCAGCAGTGCTCTGGAAACAATTGAGATGCCTCTGATTGCATATAAACTTAAAAAGGGCATTTACATCTGCGGGCTTCGCTGTTATAATGAAGAACAAATGTCCCGTCTTAAGACAATTAGACAGCTACAGATGTGTGGGAGATGCTTGCGCTGCATGGAAGCTCAGGGGAAAAATATGACCTTCCTGTAGTCCCAATATTTAACAACAGTGTCTTAATAACAAACAGAATACATAGCTTAAAACCTAGACAGGAAGACCATTATGCTGGTGGGTCGAAAGCAGTGGCTGATCTGACATGTGCAGCATGTGCAGTCCGTTCCAGCGTTCCAAAATGTGGTGGTTGATCCACTCCAGCTCGGCTCTATGGAGAACAATCCAGGTCCGGGTTTTCCAGGCCTCTGCTGAAGGGAGAGTACCCAGAGGGCTGGAAGCGTGCAGCCTGGTTAACTATGTGAATTATGTCATTGACGTCAGCACGGCCATAAAACTCACTGTGGCCCATCCCTCCTGTGGCCCCATGCCAGCAAAACTACACGCTGCATTGTGAACAGGCTGTCAAACAGGCCTTGGGTTGTGTGTGTGTGTGAGTGTGTGTGTGTGAGTGCGTGTGCGCACATGCGTGCATGTGTGTGTGTGTGTGGGTGTATTACCAAGGAATGGATATTGTTTTGATAGCAGAAGAGAATCGAGCATGAATCATAAACTATGAACAGACACTCATAATCAGTACGGGAAGTCGTCCAAATGCGGACAAAGAAAAGTAGAAAAATAGAGTGGTTTGGTTTCGGGGCAGTACCTGCCCATATATCCACCTTCAGAGTGTTGTACACAACATATAAGATCATGCACTTCCTAACTGCGTGATGTGATGAGGCGAAAATCATTTTGTTTGAACAGGCCAATATAGACGACTTAATGAAGTTCAATCTCATAACTCAATTGTGTGATCTGATGAAGGCTGTGTGTGTGTGTGTGTGTGTGTATTCTTATAAGCAACACACATGGACATTCAAGGAGTCTAAATAACACTTTCCAGTTAACATTTACACATCTCATCTCTTCACTTCTTATCCTTGTCATCTGGCCACAGAAAGAATCAACTTCAAGCAATCTGGCTTCTCTTGCTCTGCCTCCTTATCATTCTCACCAAGTGTGATTTTCTTTCAATCTCTCTAACCCGGAAACTGCATGTGTGTGCATGCGTGTGCGTGTCTGTGTGTGTGTGTGTGCCTGTGTGCGTGGCACTCAGCTTCTTCCTGTGATGTCAAGACTGAGAGGCAGCAAGTGGCTACATGTGTGCACGAAGTACATGTGTGCACGCACCTGAGTGCTCGTACATGTGCACAACCTGTTTACACTCTGGGCCGCCGTCCTGTGAGTCAAACCTCTTATGGCGGCCTTTTTTGTCATTGTCCGCACAATTTCCAGACAGTGGGATTAATACAGGAAACATATTACATTATCCACCTGACTCACCGTGATCACTCACCCCCCGAATGAAGAGTCAAGATCGGACCCATGGGACAGCGATGGGTTAGCATTAGCATGGTTTAGTGTTAGCTACCATGGGTATCAATGGGAGTATCAATGCCTCACGTGTTTTTTCGATTAAACACCAAGCTAATCATTAACGCTAAGCTAAGCTTCCTCAGTTCTAACAGTGGCTTCAGTGCTCAGCGTGAGCAGCAACTCACTTCCTCCTTTTTCTCCGTAGAAGTAGATTCTGCAGAGAGGTGACTATAGGTGACTTATCTTCACTCATCTGACTCAGACTTGTTTACTGCTTCCCTCTATGTATGACATTACAATCATTTGGTCGGAGCATAATATTCCCTTCCTTCTCCGGAGCAGCATGCAATGGGGGTGGTGGTGGTGTTAGGTGGGGGGGGGGGGGGGGGGGCAAGCCAAACCCTGGCCTGGGTCGTTAGTGAAGTTGATTGCGCCCACAGAGGCTGGTCTGTGGCCCTGGGGGGAGGGGGGGAGGAGGAGAGAGCGAGAGAGAGAGAGAGGATAAGGAGTGCTATGTAGACGGAGGTCTGCTGTGCTCCATGCAGGCAGCATATGGTGGAAGCATCAGGAGACGGCTGATCGCTCGCAGTGCTCTCCAGTGAAGGAACGTCTGGAGCACCACCAACTCCACAATCTTCTGGTGACATTATTAAAACCTCTTCTCCTGAACAGTTTTTGATCATCCCGGGATTTATAATCACTCAAAGGTGGCATTGCATGTATAATCAACCACAGGTGTTGGATAGCGATCTTCTTGCTCGTGATATGGTGTGTGTGTGCGCGTGTAGGCCGTTTTGTGTCTCGATCTTTTTCCTGCTCTTCAAATGAACACCTCATCGTAATAGACACACACGTACGCACATACATGTTTCACACACACATAGGCATTTTTCTTTGACACGAAAGATCCGATGAATTAGTGAGCCAGACGCTGATTAGTAACACGTTGCAATGGATCTTTTGATGATACATCCCTCTGTGGTGGTGTGTGGGACTTAAAAACCACCCTGTACTGGAGCCTTATATGTTGGCCTTGGCCATGGCTGGAGTCCCTCTTGGTTTGGGTCACTTGATCATCAAACCCTGGGTTAGCAATAGCATCCGTCCTCTGCATGCCACGCTGAGCCGGGGCCCTGGGCCCGGGCACGCTGCCCTGCGCTGGAGTCTTCTTTGATGATGTACTCTTCTTTAGAGGCCCCCAAAAATTGGTGCATGTCCATGTTGGAAGAGGAGAGGTTATGGGGTGGTGGTAGTGGTTGGCTGGGGGTTCACAGGCAGGATGTGGCCACACCCTGGCACCCTCTTCTCCTCCTCCTCTTCCTCCTCTTTCTCATCCTCCTCTTCCTCCTCCTCACCCTAAATGAGGGTCTCAGGAGGTGCTCGAGTTTGATTTTGTATTTTTTTTTCTTCCCCAGCCCACCGTCCTGTTTCTTTAAATGTGCCGCTTTTAAAAGATGGCCGCCCTTTCTTTGTTCTTTGTGTGGCTGTTGAAGGAGTAGTATGTGACCAATAGTTTTCTTTATGGGGGAATAGTCAGGAGGCTTATAGTTCAAACACATTGCGTAGACACGTTCAGTCAAGGGCTCCTTCAGTTCCTGACCTGAATTCAAGGTGACCTTTGGTTAACTTTGTGAAAGGGGTTGTGGTAAGAACCGGTGCTCTGTTTCGGTCCATGAACCTCCACTATGGCATAAGCTTCTTTCACATGTCTTAAATCTCTTAAAAAACAATTT